GGCGTATGTATGCATGTATGCATGCATGTATGTATGTGTATCGGCTGTATAGGTATATTCTTATAATATATATATATATATGTCTCTCTCTCTCTCTATATATATATATATATATGTACATGTGGGTTTAAGGGTTAGGGCTTAGGAGAATTATCGGATCCATCAAGGTCTGGTTGTATCTTGGAATATGATTCTAGCAGGCGACCGCTACTGTTCGTCCGAGGCTTGATGCCCTATCTTGGGCCTTTGGAAACGCATCCTACAGTGTTTTTCTACAAAGCTCGGTTTTCGATCTGGGCTTTGCATCGGCTTGGGCTTTTATCCAGTTGCTTTGGGGCAGCATGACATCTTTGGGGGGTTCGGGCTCGAGGACTCAAGGTGGACAGTTGAGATGCGAGCCGCCCTGTTTGTGGTGCTGGACCCTGCCCCGATTGAAACTTGGCAGCTCATACATGATTCAGTCCTAAACCCTCTTAAACCCTGGACTCTGGATCCCAGCCTTTTCTCCTGATTCCTGATCCCTAGAGCCTTGAACCGAGAAGTTGAACCCTCAACACCTGAGCCCTGAAGCTAGCAGGTTTAGGGTTTAGGGTTTTAGGTTTTAGGGTTTAGGGTTTTAGGTTTTAGGGTTTAGGGTTTTAGGTTTTAGGGTTTAGGGTTTTAGGTTTTAGGGTTTAGGGTGCAGCTAGCAGAGCAAACGAACAGGCTACGCGTAGAGTTGTTTTTTCCATCTCCTCTCCTGTTGACATCCTGAGCCCCTTTCTGGCACTTACCCTGTGGGGTGTGGGTTTCTAGAGGTTCTAGTGCTTATGAAGCCATGGATGGAGGCATCAACTAGTTGGTTTAGCTGGTCCTGTCGTGCGGGTTGGAGATGCCTACGGCACGTGAAATCATAAAACAAGAAGCCTTTGGAACTGTAAACCCTACTTGGAGGTTCATGGTTGGTTATAAGTGGAGTTATATAAGTCCCCTAATATGGGTTATAATTACAGCTACCCTACTTATAACCCCACTTATAACTACCCATGAACCTCCAAGTATAGTGCACGTACCGCAGTGCAAACCAGGCTCACATCCGGTGAGGGAAGGTCGTGCCGCACCTGGGCATACCTGGACTGCAGGACTCAGCTAGGCTTCACTGGTCACTGGAGAAGCAGAAGCTACAAATATCATAAACTTGACTGACAACTCTGCCCAAGTTACAAGGTTTCGGTGCTCACCCGCGCGTGCCTTGCAACCGGACTCCTTGTTCCCAAAGGATCCGACCGGACTTCGGCCGCACAGCTTTTGCAAAACTCGAGTCCCCGCCCCTCCCGCACCCTGGATTCCAAGAGCGGTCCATTTCAGACGCACCGCCATGGTGCCGGTTCGTATGTGGACCATGATTTAGGGCTGTGTGCTTCTGGAGAGCTGGTACTTTCGAGGCGATTGAAAGACGGCAACGAAACCTGACTGGCCTCTGTCTTCTTCCACTTATACCATAGTGAACATCCTACATTCTACTATCACACTCCCGTGCCTGGTCAAGCCAGATTATACTTAGGGGCTGAGTACCCTAGCCCCGGTTAACCTGTTGAATTATAGTAGGATCATATAAGCCCCAAAAGGTTAAAGGTTGCCTACTCAGCCCCTGAGATTATGAGTGCTTCCACTCCAAGTGGCAGGTTGGAGCCTTCCGCGGGGAGGATCACGGCCAGCTTCACCACGGAAGACCATGACATGGCCAGCCTCGGATTAAACAAAAAAACCCAAGGAATTGAGGGCTTCTGCCATGTGCACTCTGGCTCCCAAGAGCAGAGCTTGCAAGCCCTTTGGGCTACAGTATTTTGAGCCTGAGAGCTGTCGTAAATCCTACGGTTCCTAAGGCCCAAACAGCCTGAAGGGCCAAATGGCTTGCAATTATTTGACGTAGATCGGGTCTTCTCAGCGTGGTTTGAGCTTGAAGGCAAGTAAGTGTGTCTTGGAAGTGTTATCTCCGGTTTATGGCTATTGGACCAATGGGGTTTAAGGGCTTATCGTGCTTAGGGCTAAGAGGCTGTGTTACTAAGTCAAGAAAAAGGTTTTAGGACCTCTAAGGCTTTCACTCTGATCCGCTCCTCCCTAAATTCAAGGCCCTGACACCTCCAAGACTTGCAACACTTCAAGAGGGCTCTTCGGCGCAGGATGTGACAAATCTATGCTCCTATACCGACGTTTAGCTATCTCGCCCGGGAGTTTGATGTCAAGCTGTGCTCGCGTGGGGTCAGGATTGGGAGCCATCCCGGCCTTCTTTTTCAGCCCGGGTTGTCTAAACCCTCCTAGCCCCAACCGAGACGCCAAAAACCACAACGCCTAAACCAATAAACTGAGGTGCCGGCCAGCGCCTACGCAACCCTCACCATTGCCTGAGCCCTAGACCCCCAAACCCCCAAACCGCCTAGACCCTCTAAGAGCCCAGGGGCTGGTCATCCGAGATCCAAAGGAGCCCCGTCACGCGTCCCCCTCCCGGAGGTCGGGGCACATAGGTGACCTGAAGCTTCGCGCACGGCTTCCCAAATTATGTAGAAGCCCCGTCCTGAAACAAAGCGAGGCAATCTGAAGCCATGCAATCCGGAACCATGGCTCTAGACTGTGCATGCACCGAACCGCCGAACCGACTCATGTTCGGCAGGATGCCTTCTGAGAGGTTGCGGTGTTGTAGACCTTCACACCTTAGCTGCAAATGCAGCACTCCGGTGTTACCGAGCGAACGTGTAACTGCTTCGTCACGGGTACAGGCATCGCTGCCATCTTCTGACAGACACCGTCAACACAAAGACCATCATGGCGATGTGCATTGTCGTGCCCATCGGTGCATCAACACTGCCACCATCATCAGTAGCAACAACTTTGGGAGTCGCACCCTTCTCGTTGCCCCAAGCGATGAGGGAGGCCCGCCAGCGCACCTTGCCATGCTTGAAGTGGGGGAGACGAGCCGGTGCTGCCACGATGGCAATGACGATTTTCAGCATCATGAGTCATGCCTCTTCTTGTTGGCACGGTGCATCTGATCGTAATCTCTCCCTATAGTCACCATGTACAGGTAACTGTACAGGTAGATGTACAGTTCTATACTTCACGAGTCCCACCCCGAGCAGCCTGATTGATCGGCCCTTCTCCGGAATGCAGAAGCGTCTGGCCACCCAGAAAAGTTCGTCGGTGCAGGATCAAGCCTCAGTAGTTTTTCGGATGGGAGCTTTCTTACAGCAAGGAGGAACGGGGATTTCCCCCAGGAGGGAATCCTGAAAGCTCTATATGAAAGGGCCCCAGACTTTCGGAGAATCCTTGACGGCGAGCGGCCCTAAGTCGTTATCATTTGCAGTGGCCGTGTTGCAAGCTCTAGGGTTCAAAACACAACAATACTGCTTGCAACTTCTGAAAACACTTATACAGGCAGCCGGCGAAAGAAAGGGCCTTTTAGCTAGGTCCATTGTACCACGCTTTTCTCCAGGGGACCATGGAAAACACAAATGCAGACTACCGAGGCTTAGGTATTGGTGCCTGTTTAAATGTTGCCCGCTCTTGCACCTGAAGCTCGCTTGGTGGCCACAAGCTCGCCCCTGAACAGCAGAACGGCTTCCTCGTCGTATTAGTTCTAGTATGCTTATCATTACTATGGTTTGCATTATTCGACGTCGTCGTTGTCAAAGTCGTAGCAGTACAGTAGCCTAGCGCAGGAGTAGTAGCAGCAGGAACTAGTAGCAGCAGGCACACGAGCAGCAGCAGCGGCAGCAGCAGAACCAGCGCCAGCAGCAGCGGCAGCAGTTTGTAGAATCTCAATCTTTCCCGTTACGAGACAGCTGATCTCGACTCGATCCTAACGGTGTGGAACCGGAGCTGTACAGCCACAGGTATCTCGAGGCTCCATTTCGCCAGAAAGTTCGAGCTGCATAATTCTGGAGCACAAGACTCTACGAATCCCACGGTGTTGGTACCTGGAAAAGAACTGAAGCTTGTGGGGCCTAGTTGCGGCCATCATCTCCTCCAGCGCAGAGTGCAAACGTGTCCTGCAACCGAGATCAAGCACAGCAGTTTCATGAAGTCGGCACGCTTTAACCTGGGTGCCATAAGACCTTCCTGTTCAAGGCTCTTGATGATGAGGATTCGTTTCTAGCAATAATAGGGATATGAATCATTAGACAAGGGCTTCGGGGCATACTATACTATACGTGTGATAAGGAACCCTATAACGAAGAGTATTACTAATTATCTGGGCTCCTTTTTATGATCGATATGTTATTTGGTGTCGATAGCCAGCTTTACTGCGTACATGCCCAGACTCATCTGCCCCTCTTGGCTCCCAGTGTACAACTAATGCCAGCCCTAAACCCTAAACCCTAAACCCTAAACCCTAAACCCTAAGGGCGGAGTTTCAGATTCAGTTCGAGTTGGGGCCTACTCTGGGCTGCTTGAAGCCATAGGATGAAGACCTCCGCGTTATTATAAAGCGATCAAACCGAACTGTAGTATACGATAGAAGACTTCAATATAAAAGGATATGATTATAAGGTCAGTATACTATAACCATCTTTTGGGCCCAGAGCATCTTCGGGGGACCAGGATCGAAGTCACAACTTGAACCCTGCGAGTCCCAGACCCACCCAGAACCCCAAACTTAAACCGTTCAGGGTTTAGGGTTTAGGGTTGTACACCTTATTATAGACCCTCACACCTAAACCCCAATTCCCGCGGAGTACCCGGAACCCTCGTCCTTCTGCGCCCCGAAGTTTGGAGCTAAAGCCAAACCAAGGACGGGCCTTGCGTCTTCGACATAAGTTGGGGTTTAGGGCCGGGGAGTCGCTATTTCTACAGGCTTCAAGGTTTCGGAACCAAGTGTTCTTCTGGGTTTTGGGGCTCCAGAATAGTCAGGGTTTGGGTTTGAGGAAGGTTTCGGACCGAGGGTATCCGGCTTAACTAGGGCACCTCAGAGTGGATTGCTGTCTAGCAGAGTGCGCCGGCCAGGAGCTTTGGAATTGACGTCTCATAGAAGTCGGAGATGCTAAGAGCAGACCTGAGGGGCCTTTCACACCTGTGACTTTTGCTGAAGGGTGTAGGGTTTAGGGTTTGGGGTTTTAGGGTTTAGGGTTTAGGTGACGTACTTTAAAAACAAGCTTTGCTGCCACAGCGTCAAGCGAGAGTGCTCCGCGATCCAGGGCTCGCCGCCGTTGCCTGGACAGGCTCCGGAAGTCTCGGGCATGTTGGCTTAAGGCACTCTTGACACCAAAAGATGCGAGATGACAGCCGGGGCGGTGGCGACAGCAAGTATACATCCTATCGCCAAAAAAAGATGCTCACCCCGGCTAAAGGTCGGTGCAGGATCTCAGGGCCTTCTTGGGCTTGTAGGGTAGTTTCCGTAAGAAGCCATGCTCTTCATCGATAGGACAGCCGCTTTCACGAGACGAACACGTACAGAACATCGACGTTCGTGACTCGAAACATCCGAGGCACTCCCTGAAGTCCTCAGCTTCCCGAACGTGCAAAGCCCCCTGCAACCCTTTAAGTAACCCAAATCTCGGAGCCGATCTCAAGGGGGAACAAGTGAATGGAGACTTCCATAGCGAACGAATCGCATTGGAATGAACTTGCTATAGCGCAAGTCCCGAATGGCAGATCCAGCGACCTTTCCATCTGAGTCTATATCCTGACAACCAACGCCACAATTCTCGGTAGCCCTGGCATCACAGTCCTCCCCACGATTCCTCAGGCGGGCACCTAGAGGCCAGACCACAATGCGCCCATCGCCAGTTCCAGCTGCTACGAAGAAGCCATCGGAATCCGTCGCCAAAGACTCAGCTGCTTTCAAGCTGGATCTGAAGGATTTGGGGGTTTCCGAAAATACAGGGTACCTTATTTAGGGGTCCTTATAATAAGGATCCTGCTACTTCGCGTGCTATCTTAGAGTCCCCTATTTTCGGAAACCCCCATTTGGGCGTCAGAATCTCCAGCTCTCCGGGCCCTGCATCCTAAAACCGGGGCTGTTTAGGGCTCCTACTTGCACATGGCATGCCAACGCGCGCCAGGGCTCATGGATGCACGCGTTGCCCATTGGTATCTTCCTTGGGTGTAGAAGCGAGGTAAGGTTCGGGGATCTGAGGTTTTAGGTGCTTTTCCTTTGATGCCGCCCTAGCAGGGTGCGACCAGGAGCTGAATGAAACAAGGTGAAGATCCTGTTCAAGTAAACACAGCCGGCGTATTCATGACCAAGCGTCCGCACATTGGTGACCTCAAGCAAGAGGAATTTGCAGGGCTTGCACGTGCAGGCATGGCTTCGGTTTCGGGTTCGATAGGACCGGAGTGTAGCACATGCATTGCTGTGCAGCGATGGGCGATGTCGATCACACGATGCGGAAAGGTCTATGACCTGGGTCTAAAGCTAATAAAGCAACGACTTGTGGTAGCAGCCGTGGCTGATGATGCAGGGTCCGCTATCTTGTGAACACTGGTTATGGTAGGGGGGGCTGGTCGCTATTCATGCTGCTAAAGCGGCTTTGGCCCCCAGCACAGGGCCTTTCTGGAAACCACCAATTTGCCAATTCATAACGAGACCGCTCTAGCGGGACAGCTGCAAAAGCGGAGGTGGGGGGAGACAGACTCTTCTATAGTATTTTGCATACTTGTAACACGTAAGATACCATGTAGAAGTGATTCGGATACCGTTGAAGGTAACCCTAAACCCTAAACCCTATTACATAGCCTGAAGCCCTGAAGGCTGCCATACATTGCCCACTTCATGAACCAAAACTCTAGTGTCATATACTTCCATCCTTGCCTACGTACACAGCCTTTCGAGGTTTGCCGACTTCTAGCAGGGATTGATCGAGATCTTTTACCAGCAGTCCAGAATCTTCCGTCTGCGCTAACCCGTAAATGCAGCTGGCGGAGACCATAGACGTAAGATTTCAGGAAACACTCCAGCATCTGCACAGCGACAAGCAAACATAAAACCTACCTCAAGATTATGGATCTCGTCGCAGTCGTTGCGGAGCATCACTGTTCAGGCACAACTGCACAAACACATACAAACATATGTATGTGTACATATATATATATATATGTATATGTATACACAATACATGTCTATGATCTTCCCTGTCTAATCCTTAAGAAAGCACACATGCATAAAAACACGAGGTTGCAACACAAGCTCCTGAGGATAGTGTACTCTGTTTGATTGTAGCCCGACACCCGCGGCTTGAGCAACCATTAACCCTAAACCCTAAACCCTACACCCTAAACCCTAAACTCATTCACCAGGCTCGAACTGCTTGCCATAGCACACCATGTTCCCAAACGCAGACATTGCCAAGGCGGGTTCCTGAAAGTGGCCGGGAGCGAAGAGAAGGCTATTGGGTCCACAGGCTGGGGGCACACAATTTGGCGGTTTCCAAAAATAGGGGACCCTAATATAGCACCAAAATAGTAGGATCCTTATTATAAGGGCCCCAAAATAAGCTTCCCCTAATTTTCGGAACCTCCCATTTGTGTGCTTGACTTTGTGCCTTCTGGGGTCATTCTAGCCGCCTTGTGCTCTGAGATCTGTTGCAAATCTGAAGTACCCCTGGCAAGAGATGTTCGGCTGACGTTTCATGTGGGAATAATGTGTCCCTCAACGTCAAGAGACCAACCAGTATTGTTCAAACCTAAACCCTTGCATTGCTTATAATTTCGAAAGTGCATGCTTAAATGCTACTTTGAGCTTCTGGTAATTTCGAAAGTGCATGCTCAAATGCTACTTGGAGCTGCTGGTACAGAGGTTCCAGTAGCAACCGGATCAAAACCATGGGATTGCCAGGTCTTGGGGTATGATGATGTAGGTGACACAGAGACAATGCTGAATATTCATGGTGATGATTAATGATGGTCATCCTCCTCAACGCCATCAACACCCACAGGGTTCATCACTGGC